TACAAGTACAAGTGAATCACAAAGCCTGATACACTCACCTTATCAGGTCCCTGAGACCTGTGTTTTCTCCTTCTCCACCCATCTATGAGGAGCCAAGTAGGATTGCTCAAGGGAAGCACACTGGTATAACTTATTTACTTTGAAATTTTGCCAATGATATTTAGGCAAAAGCTCTAAAGATCCAAAGGCCTGGTATTTTGTGCTATCATCAGAATGAAAATTCACTTTGCTCTTTTAAATAAAAGGCACCAAGTTTGCAAGTATTTTGACTTGGATTCCTACTTTGAAAATATAGAACACATTTATTTTAAACTAGCTTGCATTAGAATGGATACTTTTCATTAAAATAAATTAGAAATGATTTGGGAGTAGTATTTAAATTCTAATATAAAGCATTTCTTTTAGATATAAATGATAAAAAATATTTATGGGATTTTTTTTTGTTCTTGGAATTGAAAATGGAGGTTATATTAAATAAGTTCCTCATACTTCAATCATTACAAAAATAAAAGTAGTTGAGATAGGGGTGGAAATATTAATATCTTTACAGAGATTTTTAAAGTGTCTGAGTACTCTTCTAATTCTCTGACATCTAGATGAATACAGATAAACTACACAGACCCCATGTAAGCTGATGTGCAGCCCATATGAGCAATGGAGACCAAGTGGTGTCACCCAGCTCTCTGAGTTATGAACCTTATTTGACAAAGCAAAGGAATAGATTATAGTTTACTTCCTACTCACTAAGCAGAGTGTGCAATAGACTCACATTTCAATAGAATCCAAACAATTAAAATGGGATAGCTCGGTGGAATAGTACCTGCCTTCCATGTGCCAAGACCTGCCCATTCCCAACACTCCCCTTCCAACACACACACAAGAATTTAAAAATTCTTTGAACTGTAAGAAGGGAGAATTGCACATTCGTTTTTTGAGTTAGAACTTAATAAATTCTGTGTTAGTCACTATGTTGTTTATACTGTCACTTCTTCAATTCTAAATAACCTTGGAACTCTTATTCCATTAGCCCCAAAACATTTAAAAATAAAATTAAAAGCAAAAATCATACTGCTTGAAGCACCTAAACAATACAAATTGTTATTTTTCAAACATAAAAATATAAAACTATACTTCTTATTCCTGTCTTTGGTGTTATATAACAATTTGAAGGCTCAATGGCAATTGCAAGGAGCCATAGAACCACTATTTTTAAAACATATATCATCTCCTGTATCAAATAACAGTGATAGTTATTTTCAAATAAAAACTTCTCACTATTCTATAATGTTTTACCTATTCTTCAGAAAGTGTGCTTCAGTGGAACCATCAGTTCTTTTTACTGAGGAACTGAATTCAGTAAGTTACATGAAATATCAGGAAAATTTACAAGGCCTGCCATTGACCCCAGCAGTCTGAGCTGATTGCTATAGATGGTTTCTGGTTCATGCTAACAGCCGCATTACCTCCAATGACCGCAGAGTCACTTCTGTCTGCATTAATTAAAGGCTCTCCCTCATCAGTTGGTCCAGAATAGCCTACAGTAGAAAAAGGGAGGACAGAGCGAAGAGAAGAGAGTAATTCACAAACACCGGAACAACAAACAATTGTAGTGGGAGAAATGAACTTGAAAGGAAGAACACAGGAGAGGGAAAGGCCAGATACCAAGTAGGTGAATCAACAAACAGGACTAAGTAAATCTGCGATATAGCAGTAGTGACACACAGAGAACAAGCACAAGGAGGTACGCACCTGAACCACCTGAGAGCCGGGGAGCGAGTTCCCGCGCTCTGGAGCCAGGCCCTGCGCCCACCGCGCAGCGGGATCCAGCGGCCACTTGACCATGAACAGTGACCCCGGCAGGTCTGACAAGGCGCAGCGCCGCCTTCAGTGGGGCTGCATGGCTAAAGCGCACCGCAGACAGGCAGCCTGTGAAGCCGCGCGCTGCCGCCCGCCGCGTATCGGGGTCTGCGCCAGGGGGCTCTGCCGACAAAAGAAGTGCATACATCCTTAGGGCGCCCCACATCTGCGAATCTCCCTTCCAACCCCTATCTTTTCATCTTTAAGGAAATACACTGCGGCCATTACCAGTGGCCTAAGTTATTGACAAGCGGGGTGGTAACTTTGGTCCATTTTGCTAAAACCTTCCCTAGAGGCAGCCACGGAGTAGATAAGGGCGAATTTCTCGGGCACTTCATTTTTTCAAATGATCATTACAATGCTTTTGGATGGAATTTGTACCTATTAGTACAATTGGGTAAAGCGAAATATCTCTTGGATTTTAGGACACTCTGGAAATTTCTCTAAAAAATTCCCTAGTCTGTATTCAACACCAGAGGCTGCTCCCCTTCACAATGTGGTCTCCATTCTGTCCCTGCCAGGACCCACCTGCCTTTAACCACAAGCAAGGAAGGTTGGTTTTAGCAAGATCTAAGTAAGAGCAATTGCGATGGAAGATGAAAACTTGAGGTTGCTAATTTCAGTGAATATACTCTGCCTTTCCACTTGCTCAATGGGCATGGAATCTGACAAGGGGAGTAAGAGGTGAAGTTCAAAAATTTAAATGTCAAACAGAGAAGCATCCTCTACCCTGCAGAGGAAACCATGTCAATATGCTGTGAGTGCTTGATATCTGATGTCAAATTCCCTTTGCAAACTGGCTGTGGGGAAACTGCAGTTGATTCTCCTTATTCTAACAACCAATGAATGAATACATAGCTGTCAAGAATTTGCCAAATGATTTACTATAGGTTATCATTTTAATTTTTGCAGCATAAAACAATGAATACTTTTATTCTTATTTTATAACTGAAGAGGTGAAGGTTCAGAAGTTTGTAGCATAAGTTAGTAGGACATTAAGGTTACTGGGGGGGGATCTGAATTTAGGCCTCTTGTGTTCAACCCCTTTCTCAACAAGATATTCTTTTTTCCCCCATTAGTATATTCTGTATATGTTCATAATTGCTCACATGGAGGGACTGGTAAATGGGGATCATTATACTATTTTTACTTTTATAAGTTCATATATTTTTCCATAGCACATATGTACATATTCAATAAATGCTTTTTGGTTGACTTAAGAACCAATCTTTTAAGTTACCTCTGAGAATCTCAGTTCAGATCCATTCTGTCTTGATGTTGTAGTTAAACTCTCAAAGGACAATCCTTATTTCTTTTGAATTTGAGGATGCTTGAAATATGTTTTTATATTAGAGGAATATACAGTCCCATCACCATAAATTCATCTTTCTATGGATGCTTAGTAGCTACTGAAATAATTTTTATAATGTGGCACTCATGAGGATAGAAGAGCCATCTGTTCTAAAAGATTACATGCATTGGATCAAGATAAAAATGCACTTCCATAGCTGATTGCCATCTCATGCCACTGAGTTTTCTTGAGTGTTAAGGTTGTTTTTTGTTTTTTTTTTTTTTTTGAGTGTTGGGGTACCTAAAGTCACCTCTATTGTTGTACTAATATGAAAGAAATGTGAAAATTATCCAACAGAATGGAGTTGCTTGTTCCAATCCTGGCAAAGAAAGAAAGGGAAGGAGGGAGGGAGGGAGAGAGGAAAGATTACAAGTGTTCTTAGTCATAAAGACTGTCTTGTAGGACTATCATTAAAGTCTTTGTCAGGCCACAAGCTAGCACAGGAGTATACAAAAAACAAAGCAAACAAAAGAACTTCTGCAAGGATACCTACCCATCAAGTATCTGTTCAACCTCAGACTGATGCCACTGTTGTTATTAATCACTGTACCCAAAGATTATTGTTTCAAAATATCTGATGAAATCTTCAGTTTTGTCTTTAATGTATTTTCTTTCCCCAAGTTTCCTTGACTATACTCCTACATTACTTTGATGGTGTATTCCCTTTGCAGTGCTTTGTTACTCTGATTGCAATGCTATTCCTAAAGAAATACCACTATTCTCTGAAGAATCTGTTTGTTGTTGTTAGATTGAAAGTAAGGTTAAGCTATGTACTCTGAATCTTCTACTCATAAGGTGGGGCTTCTTAAATCTAATTTTAGGTATTCCTTTTCATTCCTACTAATCTTCACTTCATTATTTTAGTCTGTCATTCTTGAAAATCCAATCTTTTGTATTCTTATTCCTTCTGACTTGAAAGAGAGTTGTCTCTTGAAAAAAGTGTGTTGTGAACTTTTCGGCTTACAAACTTAGGGACTGTTAAGTTGCAACAGTAAATGTTTATGTGTAAAAAAACATCTAAAGCAATTAAAATTGGGGGCATGATGTTTATGATATTATAATAAACAAATCTTTCTTAAATATCTTGGTCAGGCTGATTATATGAGACATCAAAAAACTTTTGTGTGATAAATTCCTGGTAAATTTTAAGCATACTAGGAGAAAGTAAGCTTGGAACAAATCAACTCAAAGAATATTATAAATTTAGAGATGTCTTCCAAGATGACTTTATTTATCATTTTATAATTTGATAATGTATAATTTACAGAAAGAAATATTTGCTTGATATACTTGAAAGTGTGTCAAGAAGAAATAAAATGGGAAGATATTGCAACAGCAACATGGAACTTCTTTGGGAAAGCTAAATTATGGAAAAAACTTTAAAATTCAATTTAAAATCCTAGCTATTAAGCAAAAAAAAAAAAAGAAAAGTAAAGTAAAAAGAAAGAAAGAAAGAAAGAAAGAAAGAAAAAAAAGAAAGAAAGGAACATGGCAAATATTATGCTTTATTTTCTAAAGACAACTGAGCTTCATCTTTGCTGATAGTGCTATTACTGAAGAAAGACACATAGGTACTACATTATAATTGCCTCTGTTTCAAGAATCTCCACTTAATATTTGTACATATGTATGTATATTTGTGGGCATGAATGTGTGGGCTAGATTTATATGTACCCCAATAGCCCAACTCTGAACATTATGTGTACATTAGGTATAAATTCACCTGGACAGGTTTGCTGCCTGCACTGGCTCCCTCATATTTTCCTATGGTAGGTTCATGATTTTGTCCAGTTTTAGACTAAATTAATTTCCCAGCATTTTGCTGAGATGGGATGCATGGTTAATATTTAATCTCAGTCCATCCTTGTTACCCTCAAAAAACATTTTTTAACCTTATCAGATAAATTATATAGTAGATGCTTGAGCTGTAGCCCATTTTTCTTGGTAGTATGACATTTTTACTTCATCTTTATTTTATTTTTTATTTCACTACTACAATTAGATGTTGGCTTCTAATGACAAAATCATCATATTTCATTGTAGAAACTTTTGCCTAGAAAATTTGGAAGGTTTTTCTTTTTTGTTTTGTACTTCAGGAATTTTATCAGAAATTTTCCAAATTTATCTTTTTTCATTAGAACTGGTTTTTATTCTGTTTTTTTTTTTCTTTAGCTTGGAGAAATTGCCTAGTTTAAAATATATTAATGCCTTTGTTTTAAATTCTCTTTCTAGATCTCCAATTATACAAGTGAGGTTTTTCTAGATTAGATTCCCATGTACTTCTTATTTTCCCTCTCTGTTAATCTTCTTGCTCTGTGATCTGAGACATTATATCTAGGCCACTATTTAAGGATAATCAGTGATCATTATCTCCTTCAGATCACCCAGTGAAATTTTGTAAAATTTATTTAAATTTCCCATGTGTTTTTCTCTTTGCCTAAAATCTCCTTGAATTCCAATTTGCATCTTTGCTGTTTACTGTCTTCTTCAACAGTGTATTCTGGCATAGAAAATGTTATTTGCTGTTTATTCTTCCTCCTCCTCACCCACAACTTTGCTGTTCGATTCCATTAGGTATGCCATTACTTACTTTCTTATTTATTTGTCTGCTTACTTCCATGGTTGTGAATCTGATATGATATACAAGTCCTGACAATATGGAAAGTACAGTTTCTCTGATCCTGTCAAAAGAAGGGACCTGCCTACAGACTGTCTCTTATCCTTAGTTCCAGAGGCATGATGGAAATGGACACAATCAGGCTGAGCACTGTTGATGCTCCTTTGACATTTCCGAGTTTTCTGCAAGTTAAACTTTATATAGGACCCATAGTGTTTGTATTTCCTTGGTGCTGCGTTGTGTTCTCCACCAGCCCACTGCAAAGTGTTCACTACAGCTGTCATTTACATCTTCTCCTGATCCTGCTGCTGGGCTAGCACATCAGCTCTTTACCCAGGAGCACAAGTATAACAATCTAAACTGCCATCATCCCAAAGTAGGTCAGCATCATAGTGAATAGAACTGTATTTAGATAAAGAGTGTAAATGTGTTTCCCCTATTAGCTAAGTCCTGAAATTTTATCATTAAGGTTCTTTTGACTAAAAAAATTTCTTCTCATTAAAACATAAAGAAAGGAAAAGAAAAAGTTAGGAAGGAACTTTGGAGAATACCTAGTGTGTTATTTAGTCATTGACACAGCCTAGTGAAACATGCACTCAGCTGCTATCTTGAGAACATGGGTAGAACCATAGGAAATTGGGAGACAGATGCAGTTTCAAACTAGGTAAGAAGGGAACCAGGAATATGGTTCAAGTGGGCCATGAAAAAAGCAAAGTTTAGGAAAGGGTGGACTAAAGGGCTGAGCATAAAGTTCACTTCCACTTCAATTCTGAGAAGAATCTCTCAATCACTTTGAATACAGACTCATTTAATCTTCCTTTCTCTTAAAAATTTTCTCTGGTAGGAAGTGTTGAGAGTCCAGGCAAATTTCCAAGAATTCAAGACACAAATATTCTCCACTGTCTCAAGTGTTGAGTAGTTTTGTCTTCAAAATCTATCATGTAAGTTATATATTGCAACATGTAAGATGATTTCTGCTCTTGAAAAGGAAGAGACAAATAATTAAAAATGTGTACAAAAAGCTCTTTGCTACCCACAATGAATAGTGAGTGCTTCTGAAAGGTTTGCTGTAGACAAGAGGTTTAACTGTAAAGTCAGTACAGGATATTAGCAGCCAATGACTAGAAGCAATGCAAGTGTGAATCATCATGAGAA